AGCAGATTATGATTATACAGAAATAACGAAATAGGTGCTTTAAATAGTGCACCTTTATGTGTTGATTTACTCTAAATTGACTATAAAGACCCGAGAGAAAGATGTAAATAGAGAAGTAAACAAAAACAGCACAAATTATTAATTGGGGTATGGAGACGCACAATATCCAAAAAGCTGGAAAGCTTGGCAGTGGGCAAAGTTGTGTAGAGCTTGAGGTAGGAGCGCAAACGAGGCATGTTAAGTTGCTGGGCAATTTCAGCCTTGAACAACTCCACCTGCTGTCGATGAGGTTCTAAAGAAAGTGGGTGCTGAGCATCAGAAGTTATGCCTGACGATGGAACGTAGGAGGGAGTCTCGGGACTTATAAATTTTGGACAACCCAGCTCAAAGCTGGACACAAATTCATCCAGGTCCCTGCAAAACATATTAGATGACATAAAATTGGATTCGGTAGAAAAAAGAGAAGCTAAAATAAAACCAAGCATGCAGTTTAATTAGAAAAGTTAATAATTTACAATAACATAATAAAAATCGAATTAAATACATTGAGAGAGAAAGTGCTTGTACCTTATCGACATTATAATTAGGATCGCAACACTATGCTTTCAGCAAATCAAAGAGGGCGAGATGGAACTAGGATTAACAGTAAATATAATTAAGTACTCAAATGAAAGTAAGACTAACATTCGTTGGAGTTTTGCCAGAGTCTCAGCAAACTTATCTTTCAGAATCTGATCAATCGCCTGATCAAGAGGGGTTGGACTGAGGGTTAAACAAATACCGAGGAGAGCTGACATCTGATCCGCCTGCTTTCCAACATATTCGGCCACGTCTGGGCGCAATTGTAGTAGCTGCGTCTTTGCTCGTGGCACGTTGTTCAGTGTAAGGGCAAATGCTCGAATCGCTTCTTGATAACGACGCATCATCATGTAGGCAAAACCGACGTAGTAGCCAGTGGTTATGTGACAGGTTGAAACATCGTGGTAAATATCCTAAATATTGATG